ACGCACAGACAGCACAACATTCCAGGTTCGATGACAAAGTTACAATTTTTGTAGAACATTTTCCACTACATGAACAAAAATATTGTTGAAGCATATCTAACGCAGTTTCTCCTTCGAAATAATTAAAATCCAAACAACCATTTTCGATTTTCCATCCATGTGTCAATGGATCAAGAGTTACAATTTCACTATTTGTAGACTGTTTTTTACTCGCTTTAGACCTTCAATAAAATAATTGACCTATACCAAAAAAATATATCTTAAAGTAAAAGATCTGCCGATTATTATGCTTTTTTTAGAATTAAACTGTTCAGTAGTTTCTGAGAAAAAAATTCCGAAAGTTTGTCGATTTCGTCACTTTTTTCACATTAAATTGTAAATATCTTGGAAACGAAGCATTTGTCGAATTTTTGTCAAAGAACAAAAAGTGTTTATTTTGGTTCATTAAAAACTGTTTTCAAAGCCATTCGGCGAGTGATTTTTCTTACAACTTTTTTGTTTAACAATTGACTGACCACACCGAAAAATATAAAAAAAATATGTAAATTATAAAATAAAGTCACGCTGCAGGTTTTTGTTTTAAAAATTTAGTCGGTTACTTCATTTAGAAGCATCTTTTTAGGGGTGAACCACTCGCCTATAAGTTGTTAGAAAAAGGCGAGGAAAAAGGTTTAGTTCATAGCCCACCGCAGGTGCAGGTATGAAGTTCGCGGCAAGGTACGTTTCCTGTCAGGTGATCTTCATGTAGAAATATTAAGGAGGTAGTTGATACAGTGTTTGAAAAACAATAGAAATAGGTACCTTTGAACACTTAAAATTTATTCTAGTACCTGCTACAATACATTCACATTTATTTTTAATAACGCTTTTCAATATGTTAGCACTAAAAAATTAGAAACCAGAAAACTCTAAGCTAGATAGTATATTTGAAATGAGACAGCCTGTACGGTTTTGTAAACAAACACAAATCTCTCGTTTATACAGGAAACACCCTGTATATCAAGTGAAAGCTCATTCTGCTTGGATGGTTCACAGAGTTATTCACTATTCTTTGCAAAGTCTAGTTGGCCGGCTTTTTAGATTCAAGCAATAACGAGACAAAAAAATACCGCATTCCAAGTAGTCTTGCTGACCAAGGTAAACGTGTCGACTGATGCTTAATGTTACATAGACAATTTTAAGCCGCAACTTGAAAAAACTGAAGATTTTTTCAGTGCACGTTAGATAACTCATCATTATTATTTTTCTTGTTCTAGTCTAAAATAAAGCCTCCGTATTAATATTACAAATTTATTTGTGAAAGAAGTGTGAATGGCACATTTTTTTTTTAATTTTATACCTGACGGCAATTGAACAAGAAATAGGGGCTACGGACTTACGGTTAATAAATATTATATTCCATTCCGAACAGTTAGAGATGAATGGGATATATTTTTTATCAAGGCACGCCGAGCTTCCTATTGTCTCTGTGTCAGCTCGAGTGAAATGTACCAGTCACAAAATAATCAACCTTATCTAAATATAACTTTATAGCCGACCAATTCTATATCTGTACCGCCGAATTTTTACAGCCCGGAATATCAATTTCAAGGTTAATTAGTGGTGACATTGCCATGAAAATTGGATTTTAATATAGAGTTTCTACATTATTATACGCATTGGACAAAATTAGAATTGCAAGTTCAAAGTAAATAACCATTTCAATATCGGGCAAATGCAAATTTTTTTTTAAATGGAAAAATTTTACAGCTCATAATTTCGTTTTTCTATAAAAAGTCCTTAAAATTTAGTAGTAGCCCTTTTATACAGGGTGTTCCACCTAAGAGGGATTCTTCTGTAACTCTGCAACTGTAAAATTTATAAAAAAAATGGTTTTAATAAAAGTTGCCTGTAACCTGTAATCATGTTGGGCCATGTAATGAAAATACATGGGCGCTACATAACTTTGTTATATTAAATTAAACACCCTGTATATTATTGTATTTTTGAATTCCTTGGTTAATATTAGGTACAGTTTATTAAATGTACATGGCACTTCAAACTTACGGTTTTCGAGACAATTAGTTGTTTTTGAAAAAAAAATCACGATTTCAGCTCTAACCTAAATGAGGCTAGATAGCGACTAAACCGTAAGAGTTAGAAACCTGCAGTTTTAACAGTTCGTTTTGGCATAAATTACTCTATCTTGTCATCTGTGAGCAAAACGTGTACATTATTAAGACTCGGAAATACTGAGACCTACATTTGATAATTTTTTTTAATGGAATGACCCATATTAATTGTCATAGGTGAATGTCAAATTGAATGCCCTTTCGACTGATATAAGGTTGTCCATACTTATCTTTAACAATTTTCCAGAAAAATCAGGTTCTTTTCTAAAGTCTGAAAAAGTAGCCATGTAATAGCGTCAAGAAGGCCTTGCAAAACCACTTTTCTCTCACATTTCATCAGGCCTGGGACTGACAGTGTCAATATTTACTGGCATGTTCAAAAAGTGGTTTGACATACAAAAGTAAACCACTAACAGCAACTAAAACGAAACAAACTGAACCTCGAAAAACAACAAGGAGAAGAATACTTAGACCGCTGATTTACATCAATTGCTCGAAATGTCCTCCATTTTGATTAATACACAAACGAATTCGGGTTTTAAAAGACTGTTCAACATTGGTCAGCATGTCTGGCGTAATTTTTTGAAATGCTACTGTAATGCGATGCCACATATCTTCCGCGGTTGTTGGTAGTGTAAGGTAAGCTTTACTTTTTATAAATCCCCATAAAAAGAAGTCGCAACTTGTCATATCTGAACACCTTGAAGGCCAACTCACTGGTCCCCCGCGCCCAATCCATCTGTTGGGAAAAATTTCGTGTAAAAACTGACGAACCGCAACGGTATTGTGAGGTGGAGCACCATCATGTTGCATCCACATTAGTCGAAGTGTAACTAAAGGAATGTCGCCTAACAAATCTTCTAGAGTGTTTGTTAAAGTTTAAATAAACTGCTCCAGTTAGATGCTGGTCAAAAAAGAATGGCTCAATGACATGCTGTCCTAAAATTGCTCCCCACCGGGAGTAATTGACCGGAATTGGTGAGGATTTGCCGTGTTATAATAATAATGGTAATTATGACTATTAACAAAACCATTTTTATTAAAAGTAGCCTCATCCGAGAACATGGCCCATTTCATTTAAATAAATCATCATCTTGATATAACATCTCAAGTATCCACTGACAAAACTCCATTCTCCGCTGAAAGTCTACTTTTAGTAACTCTTGGTGTAATTTGGATGCGATAATGATGTGCTGTGCTGTGCTTTTGTAAAATCCTATGTATCGACGTTGTACTAATACAATTGCAAGGCCTTCTTGACGCTGTTACATAGCTACTTTTTCGGATTTTAGAAAAGAACCCGATTTTTCTGGAAAACTGTTAGAGATAAGTATGGACAACCTTATATCAGTCGAAAGGACATTCAGTTTTGCATTCACCTGTAACAATTAATATGGGTCATTCCATGTAAAAAAAGATTTTCAACTCGTAAGATTATTAAATGTAGGTCTCAGTATTTCCGAGCCTGAATAACGTACATGTTTTGCTCATAAATGACAGAATAGAGTAATTCATGCCAAAACGAACTGTGAAAACTGCAGATTTCTAACTCTTACGGTTTAGACGCTATCTAACCTCATTTAAAGAGCTCAAATCGCGATTTTTTTCAAAAGCAACTAATTATCTCGAAAACCGTAAGTTTACACACCATGTACATTTAATAAACTCTACCTAATATTAACCAAGAAATTAAAAAATGCAATAATGTACAGGGTGTCCCATTTAAAATAACAAAGTTATGTAGCGCCCACGCGAAATGGAACACCCTGTAAAACTAAAAATATGGCTCACATGATTCCAGACAACTTTTATTAAAACTATTTTTTTTATAAATTTTACATTTACAGAGTTACAGAAGAATCCCTCTTAGGTGAAACACCCTGTATTGCGAATTCACCAAGAATGCATAATAATGCACCAAATAATTTCATCATAACATTCAGAATTACCAAACTGTGAGGTTAAAATTTAATTCCATATTTGTTTCAAATAAATTCACGTATTTGTAAATCCAAACCATTTATGAATAAATTGACGAATTAATACATGAATTTATTCATGAAAAATGTCAAGGAAAAAAACAGCCACATACAAAATGATTTATTTTATTTTAGTTTTCATAAAACATTTTATCAATTAAATATTAAAGTTGTCGATTAGCAATTAAAAATTCATAATATATTTTACTATTATTTAATAGGTACGTATTTATATAAAAAAAATGCTAAAATATTATTTTACATTACTGAGGACCACGTTAAATCATGTTAAGTAAGGTTATGTCAACAGCCTACGTAGTCACAGCCAACTAGAGAAATAATATTCAACGCGACGTATTTTTTTCAAGCGCGATCCATATCCTGCTGTATAAATTGCCCCAAAACCGAGTTATTCGTGTTGCCAACACTGCCCCTAAAAGCGGCGACCCAATTAGATTAAACCCACCCTGTATCCTATTATGCAACATCAAAGTTGCGCAGTTAGAAACGAAATATTTCAAAAACCAGGGGTTGCAAGCCGGGAACAGCATATTTAACGTTTAAAACATGAAATACACTTAGTAGAAGGTAATAAAGGCAAGTCAGTGTTAACATCTACGGCCTTAAAATCGATACAAGACGTTGCGGCCGCTGCCAACATCAAAAATGAAAAGGCCATTCGGACTAGATCAATTTTTACTGCATTTTTGCGTCCTGCTAGTCATTATACTTGGCTTTGACGATTGTACTGTTGCCTGTGGCCTTTCCAGAAGTTACCAGAGCGTAGAAAATGCATTAAAAATCAACTCCGAGCATTGCAGAACGAAACAACGCCTGTCTGATAAGTTAGGTAATGCGGCGGAGCGGTTTATATATATTTTTTTCAGATTATTTAAATTAATGTACGTACCTTCATATTATTCTGAACCAGGTATTCAAAAGAGCATAGAGCGTAGACCACGTAAGCTCTGATGAGCTCCAGATTGGTCTTGCTCTTAAAAGCCGCTTTGGCATCCTCGAAGGTAATGTCCAGGGGGTCCCTGGGTGGCTGCTGTACTGTCTTGGGGGAGGTTTGGACGATGTTCGCGGACGTAGCTGTCGTAGACTTCAGCAGGGCCCTGCAGACATGGAACTTGCTGGGGTGGTCTTGCAACAATCCGTATTTCTTGTACACACTACATCTGATCACAGTGCGGAGAAAAGCCATCACACACCTTTTAATCCGAGTTGTGTCGCGGGGGCAGCGTTCTACTACACCTTCCTTCTTCCTGGGCAACACTGAGAATGTGAATGTGACGAAATCGGATCGGAGTCGCGCGCACTACTTACGTCTTGCGGCTAGCAGCGGTACTGGGAGGCTCGGTTTTCGCAAGGTCTGTTCACAACACACGCGGTTCGGCTTTCGGCGGGGTCATGACGTCTGCCTCTCGGGAATTTGGCGTTTGACAGACCGGTGGAAGGAGAAAAGTCAGAGCGACGCGCGGTGTTTGTTTTCACAGGTCACTTAAGGTTGTCGTATTCTTAATTAGAAGGTCTACATACCTCAGCTGTGATCAGACAAAGATAGATAAACTGTCTTGGTGCTGATAATGCTGATATCTGGCGGAGAAAACGTACATAAATTGTAAAAATGTAAAACATAGAAGAAATAGAGTAAAGCAAATAAGGGGTGATGTGGCCGAATTGAAAGTCTAGATATTAGTTAGTTACAAGTTATAAGAAAACTCACTTGTGACATTTTGACTCAAGGTCGCTAAAGTACCTACGTGTAAGTTTGCCTACAAACTGCTGTTGCTTTTCGCGCCACTCCTGCCGTTTAACTGACGTTATTGGTAGATATTATAAATCAAATAGCGTCAACATATACAGGCTGTCCCACCACGAACATCATCGATGGATATCTGGGAAACCGCTAGAAGGATTTTTTTGAAATTGTGATGGTGTGATACGGTTCGTGGGACCTACCAAGCTAAAATATTTTTAAGGTCATCGACTTAGGATTGACCGTTTCCGAGATATTTTGATTTTTAAGCGAAAATTGACAGATGCGAACTGTCAGCAAAATTCAGTTTTCCCGGAAACATAGGTATATTTATTTTTTTATGCAAATTGGACATTTTGTATAGGAAGACCTAATTTAACGAATTTGACATGAAAATTTTCCAATCTTTATACAGGGTGGTCAAATTTTTTTTATCGAATATGAAGTTCAGAATATGTGGAAAACTCGAAATTTTTAAATGGAAACCCCTAATTTTTTTAACATATTCGCATTCTGCACTAAAAGTAAGTGTAACTTTGTTAAAGTTTACCTAAAACTAAACCCAGTGGTTTTCATTTTATTTACGAATAAACATTTCCCTTTTCTTAAAATGATGTTTCCATTTGTTTCGCACATTTTAGGTTGGCCATGACAGTTAAGTAACAATCAAAACTGTCACAGGTTTTTAATTGTCAAATTTATTTTAATAAATTAGGTTAAGCGCTGTTGTCACGTTGTGATGAAACTCCTCAATATTAATACTCGCTGTATTTTGAAAACTGTTGCTCTTACGCCCCTGTAATATAAAACTTTTTTATTCATTTATATTACTCTATCTATCCCGCGGCCGATAGACCGTAGAGTAGCTATGCTTGTACGGAGAATTGGCACCCTTTGTGCAGGTATGGTAGGGTGGAAGAATGTTGGCTTGGGTCAATGTGAGAGATTGACTCCGGTTGGCATTTGACCACCCCCTAATTAATGAGGTTTTCCAGGTTTCCCTCATTCCTGCACTGAATGGTGGTTAGGGCCTATCAACATAAGTTGTTCCTGGGCGCAAATGCGGCCTGCGTAATAATAATATGCCGCCTTCTCTCCCGCACAAGTCTCCGACTTCTGGGCTAATTCTCGTAGTTAGAATGAGGAGTAGAGATATNGACGCAAGTTATCACTGCGTGAAAAACTTTTACCACATACACTGCACAAATACATTTTTTTTATCAGTAAAGTCACTCCACCGATCAGAGTTTCAAACTGAAATGAAATCCGTTCTACTTACTCCATCCTTTTTATACATAGAATGGATAGCGCATGTGCAGTTGACTCGAAATGACATTAACATTCATGTACCCTTCAGTTAGAGGTAGTGACAGAGGACATTGAAGGTAATCCTATAGCACTCAATCAGCAGAGGTCAAATAAAAGTCACCAACTGATGTGACCTTCAATATCATTTACCAACTACAAATAATTTTTAACTTTGTATAGAGGACATATAAAGGTGACCAACTTATGTGACCTTCAATGTCGTTCACGGTCACCTCATACGTCACCACATATGTCATTTCAAGGGCGAAAGTGGAGGGGGGAGACTCACAGACGGTTAAAATACCCTACTCTCAGGAAATCCTTAAATACAGGGTTTAGTCAAAAAAGAAGAATAATCACATTTTGCGAATAAGAAGACGTAATTTTATCTATCTTACTTAAAGAAGACAAAAATTGTAAAAAATAAGTACTTAAACTTTTATTTTAAATTTAATATAACATAAAAATAGCTTGGTAGAACACTTTCCGGGTTGGTTGCCACGTCATCGGTTTAGGATTCCTGACAAATTATAACTGGAATTAACAACAACAACGAAGCAAGTCCTATTCAACGTAGCAACCGCTTCCTAAATTTTTTGCTTAAGTAAATCAATGTTATCGTCAAAATCGTTTGAATACACTTTTAGCTTTAAGTGTCCCCATAAGAAATAATTTAATGGGAACAATTCAGGTGCCCATGCAGGCCAAGTTATTGGTCCATCCATAGTGTCCGATCCATTTGTTCGAGAAGTGAACGTCAAGCCAGTTTCTCACTACAAGTGTGGAATGTGCAAGGCATCCGTCTTGTTGAAATATTAATTTCGTAAGATTTTTTTACTAAACCCCATATTAAAGCATTTCTTGAGTTCTCGTACAACTTTGTTAAATACAGTTTTAACGAAAACAGAAATTAAAGACTGCTTAATCACTGCCCATGGCTTGCCAAGATAAGTAAAACTTTTTATCAACAATAATTTTTTCTCGAAAAATCAACTGTAAAAAAGTTTACAAGAGTGCGATAGCTCAATCGGGGACACACTGTATAACTTATTAAACCAGATAAAAAGTTTTAGAAATTTTCTCTCATTTTGAATTCGAACAACGAGGAACTTTCCACTAGAAAATTTATTGAATAGAAAAAAACAAGATTTATTTATTTAGTAAAGTAAGTTTTTGTTACATATTAAATTAATATCAAGTCATTTTCGAATAAGGAAAGCNAATTATTAATATCTCATGCTGAAGTAATGGCAGTCAAACTTCTTACACCCTGTATAGTGTGTCCCCAGATGGAGTACCGCACTCTTGCAAACTTTTTTTATTGTTGATTTTTCGAGAACGTCATTCTTGATAAAATGTTTTGCTTACCTTGGGAGGCCATGGGCAGTAATCAAATATCTAATAAAACATACAGGGCGTCTAAAAAATTTAAAAATGTGAAATTCTCCCTAAGCAAATTGCCTTTAATTTGTGTTTTCGTTAAAAACTGTATTTCATAAAGTTGTTCGAGAATTCAAGAAATCCTTAAATACAGGGATTAGTAAAAAAAAGAAGAATAATCACATTTTGCGAATAAGAAGACGTAATTTTATCTATCTTACTTAAAGAAGACAAAAATTGTCAGAAATAAGTACTTAAACTTTTATTTTAAATTTAATATAACATAAAAATAGCTTAGTAGAACACTTTTCAGGTTGATTGCCACATCATCGGTTTAGGTTTCTTGACGTGTTCTCATGACATGTGTGGAATGTGCAGGGTATCGGTCTTGTTGAAATATTAGTTTTCTTCTGAAATCTAAATTTTCGCTATCTAGTTGTGCCAAAATAAAATTATTGGGAATTTCCAAATACGAATTTTTTTTCTTTCAAAAAGTAAGGACCAATTATTTTGATACATTATGCCACGTCAGACATTTACTTTTTAAAATTTTTGACAATTACGAATCAATGGAAAATTTGGATTATTTTTAGCCCAGTATCTACAATTTTGAGAGGAAACCACGCCATAAGTTGTGAATGTTGATTCGTCAGTAAATAAAATATTGTGATGAAATGATGTTTTCGATCATTTCTCGCTCATTGTTAAACAAAGTCCAAACGACGACCATCACCTCAATTAAGCAATTTATGATTAATGGAATAATAAAAATTATTCGGTGGGCAGTTAATAAAAATAAATATGTTGACTTTGACGTTGATAGGGAATTATCCATGCTAATATGGTACGTAATTTTTTTACTAAACCTCGTATTAAAGCATTTCTTGAGTTCTCGTACAACTTTGTTAAATACAGTTTTAACGAAAACAGAAATTAAAGACACTTCGCTTAGTCACTGCCCATGGCTTCCCAAGATAAGTAAAACTTTTTATCGACAATAATTTTTTCTCGAAAAATCAAAGTTTACAAGAGTGCGGTAGTTCAACCGAGGACACACTGTGTAACTTATTAAACCAGATAAATCGTTTTAGAAATTTTCTCTCATTTTGAATTCGAAAAACGAGGAACTTTCCACTAGAAAATTTATTGAATAGAAAAAAACAAGATTTATTTATTTAGTAAAGTAAGTTTTTGTTACATATTAAATTAATATCAAATCATTTTCGAATAAGGAAAGCAAATAAGGGTTTTGATTTTCTAAACCAACGTTTTGATTTTATTTAAAATCTTCAACGCAATAAATGATAATGAGAAGATAAATATGTAACACATAATTTAAAAAACCATAACTAAATACTAAACTACTAAATAAGGATGCCATAAATAATACACTTTAGGATACTTCATAATTTTATTTTGTCCATAATACGTAGTATACTTAAAACCAGTTTCCAAAATCCGTGACATTTTTCAAAAAATCATCGTCAAAATCTAAAAAAACCGGCAAAACGTTTATTTTATATCGATTACTACTTGGTATGATACTAATCTCCGCCCCTGTCCCTCACAAAAATACACTCGTTTTCAGCGTGTACATTTCACGAAAATACACAATTTCTATTATATTCAAGGAAGTACTCTGCTGTTAAAAAGGTTATCCTCTAGCTAAACACTTTACAAACAACAACAACAAACAATGTTTGATAAAAAACTTTCTCAAAACACTTGTAACATTGGAAGCACGGTTCTGATAATATTTGCACATAATTTGTAAGCAAATCGTTAAGTGTTGGTGCTGCTATAGCCGAGTGAGTGTCTTATTTACAAAACCAGGGAATGTCGTGTCAGGAGTGGGATAGACTAATGATATAGAAATATTATGTCGTTATTTACTGATAAAGCGAAGCTTTATCGTTCTTTTTGTATACATGGTGTTGCGGCAGTGAGTGCAATAAATTTAAAGAGAGAAGAGAATAATGTACTTTTTCCTATGGACGAAGATTTTATTAAATCAAATTTAAGCCACATTTTTCGAAAAAACAATGTATTGCATTGAAATTTGGTACGGGCAAGCTTGTTTAATACGCCAGTGTTGTTAGATTTTGACTATCTGCTAGAGAGCGCTCTTTCAGTTGCATTTTATGACAAAATTGTTTTGAAGTTAGGTTCTTGTAGTGTATGTTTTGTATTATAATGTAAAATTGAGAAATGGACTGTTCTACAGTCAATCGGTTTATATCTTTCATGTACAGTGTCCACAAAAGAGTGGGCGGTGCTTCAAGAGTAGTTTTTTAGATGAAAATGAATTAAAATTAAAAAAAAATGAATAACATTTTTTTATAAAGACATTTTCAGTTATTTTAACAAGAGTACTTTTTACATTATAATATACGAGTACAATATACACTTTAAGAACCCAACTTTAAAAAAATCTATGTTGTAAACTGTCATTGGGAGAAACAGCAACTAGCGACCTCTAGGAGATAGTCAAAAACTAATAATAAGACGTATTTAGTACCTCCAAAACTTTACGTGTACCAAATTTCAGTTTTCCACAACACCCTGTATTTATGCATACAATTCGTCAGTATCTCGTTTACAACTGCACATACGACACCAAAAATATTACTCATTTTATTCAATATATCGTTAAAATAAAATATGAAGCAAAACATTGATATAAATTGTAACTAAAAAGGCACTATCTGTAATTTTGTGTGATAGTTATTGCTTTTCAAATAATATTGACACATCTTCATGTAAAAACTGTCATAAAAATGGTACACTGCATTTAGGTGTTCAAAAATATTTGTCAATGCCTACCCTGTGCACACGTGTAACTAGACTGAGCGATTTTAACTGATTTTCGTTTGTTTTAACCGCGACGTCACGGCTTTAGACAGGACAGGCCTTGGAATTTTTGTGTGTCCGATAAATTAATTCTTTTCAAAATAGTTTTTCATTCTCAATTGTTATAAATCGAAATTAAACAGTTTTTACATGTTAATATGTGTATCCAAAGTCGTTGCTAATATCTTTAAAACAAATCGTAACCTCTTAATTAAGAAACTTCTTCATCTGCTTCCTCTGATGTTCCATACTGTATTGGGCGCTTTCAGCTTTTTCTATCATGCTGTCTAACGTACTTAGATCTTTATCCAGGGCTTTGGCCAGGTCGCTTTTTCTTTGCATTTCATTTTTCTCCGCGTCATTGTCGTTAGTGATGCTTTCAGTCGGGGCGCTCTCATTGGTCGGCACATCAGTGTTTCCAGTGGGTTCGGGTGTGGAATTGTCGGGAGTCGAAGACGAATCGGGCTTGCCTGCAACTTTTATTTTCAGCAGGTTCGTCAGGGAGCCGCAAGATGCCTGAAAAGGAGTTTGAAATGGTGTATAATCTATTCGCGATGTGGTTTTCATTGTATAGTCCTTTAACGAAGGTTAAACTGTCACATAAAGTGTCATTATTATATTATTCAGGAGATTATTTTTTAAATATTACACTTACTTATAATACAACATTTTTCTCATATCTATAGCAACTTGAAAACTGTCAAATTTATTTTTGTAATTAATGCTAAATTGATTTCATCAACCAGTATGGTGGTTTAACAAATATAAATAATACAAAAAACTGTTTCCAAGATAAGTTGCACTAAATCAAATTCTTCACATTTTATAATTATTTAAAATTGTACTAACTTTATTTTATTCAAACTGAACACTGTATATTATTTAATTTTTGAATTTCACGAATTTAAAGATTACGTTTATAGATAGTTAGTTTAAAATGTTTAATTTTAGTGTTATTTGATGTTTTAAAAATGGGCTCTTCTCGAAAATATCAAATATCTCCGATGTGGCATGATAACAAGATGCGGTTTTCACCATTCGTTGAAATATGAAATTGTTTAACGTAAAAGATTTCTAAACAAGTCATCATTTTTACGAAAATTTATCAGAGCATAGCTTTGAAAATTCCGTTTAATAATAAAATATATGAAAAAAACAAAATATACATAAAATTATTACAGAAACACTGATAACATTTACAATAACAATTATGCAAAATGTCGAAAATAAATTAAATTGTCAATCTGTCAAATTTAATATAGGGTTTACTTAAAACAATGTAAATGCTCAATGCTTCTAAATACATGAAATCGAACGAGAATTGAAAATTAAATATATTAATTATAAAAAAAATGAATGTCCATTAGAAATGGGACAATCTTCATAATGGAAAATAATTTTAAAATGTGTAGAAATTGGTTTGGTATAATTTCTATTTGCTGTGGAATAATCTCCGATTATAAATAGCAGACCATCAGAAGCGGGATATTGGTAGTATCAAATGACATCTTACCTTAAATCTATTGATTTTGACTTGTGTCTTTTGCAAAAGACTGTTCAACTCTTCCAGTCCCCCCATAATTCTTTTTTCAGACTCTTCTTGCAGATCAGCCTCCTGAAAAGTGTGTAATTATTTTTTCAAGAAAGACCAATAAGTACATATTTCTCTTTTTACGACAATTTTTCTCGGTAATAATGAAAATTAACTTGCATATAAAGTGAAACTCATAATTTTTTTTCTTGGCAGTTTTCAAAAATTGAGCTTTAAAAATTTTTGGTTTAGACTATTTCGACCCACTTAATTAATTTCAGACAAGGTTAGATTTTCCATGAAAATTATTTCTTAAAAAAATATGAAATATTTCAGGTAGACTATTTCGACCCTTCTAAATTAATTTCTAATACCTGTTTTTTGAACAAAGAGGGCAAAGAGTAAAATTATACAGTGAGTGTCCTATTAGATTTTTTCAGAACCTACTTCGATTTCAATTTTGAAAATTGGCACACTGTGCTCTTTTCAAATATAATAATTTTGTTCCTGTAACACTTTCTGTTATACCGGAAGTTGACGTCAATTTTGTTATTTTAAATGGGTCACCCTAAATATTATTGCATTTTTGGATTCTACGTGAAATTTGAGGGGCACTTTATTAAATATTCCCTATACCTAGGAGTTATAGAACTTGAGATATTAATTGTTAAAGAAAAAATTTGACAGATGCAAGATGCAAGTAACTTTTTTCAGGAGCGTGATATCAAGTGGATTTTTGATACCTGTAAAAGCCATAGGTAACACTAAATCGTGGTATACGAACTAATTAAAACATTTAATACTGGGTGTTTCATTTTTGCTGTTACATTTTGATAACGTCAAACAATGATGACTTTGTTAGCTTAAATGGACCACCCCGTATTTTTTTACTATGTCGATTGTAGATTGAAATTTCCTTTCAAGCCATTGTTAGGGTTGCAGTTACAAATTACTTTTGTGTCTGAATGTGCAAAGCAGCAAATTTTCTACATGTTCTTGAAATTTTGTCACATTTTCGATAAATAATAAACAAATTAAAATAATCCTCATTAGTATAATTTAAACGATCCCCAGGCATTTTTATTTAAATTTTCGGCAAAAACTATCCAGACAGAACAATATCTGACAACTAACTTGACAAATGTCAAGTTATTCTAATTGTTTTTGGATTATCTCTGATCATGGCCAATTTGACAACAGATCTGATACGATAAAAACTGTTCAAAAAATAGAAAATTGCAAATACCTCTAAAAGTAGTAACGATAACCCTAACAATGCTTATATGGCTCGAAAGGAAAATTTCAATCTGCATACGACAGAGTAAAAAATACATGGTGTTCCATTTAAGTTAACAAAGTTATAGCTGTTTGAAGTTATCAAAATGTAACAGCAAAAATGAAACACCTAGTATTAAATGTTTTAATTTGTTGGTATACTACGATTTAGTGTTACCTATGCCCTTTACAAGTATCAAAAATCCACTTGATATCACGCTCTTGAAAAGAGTTACTAGCATCTCCGCGGACCCTTGCATCTGTCAAATTGTTTCTTTAAAAATTAATATCTCAAAATCTATAACTCTATAGATATAGGGAATACTTAATAAAGTGACCCTCAAATTTTACGTAGAATCCGAAAATGCAATAATATATAGGGTGTCCGATTTAAAATAACAAAGTTGACGTCAACTTCCGGTATAACCGGGAGTGTTACAGGAACAAAATTATTATATTTGAAAAGAGCACACCCAAAAACCCTAGTGTGCCAATTTTCAAAATTAAAGTCGAAGTAGGTTCTGAAATAATCTAATAGGACATTCACTGGGAGCCACCCGGTATCTTTGGGCGATTATTCTCCACACCAACAGCAAAGTAAATGTTCCGACAAAGTAATTGTATATTTCGGGGTACCGCACTATTGTCAACTTTTTTTATTGTTGATTTTTCGAGAAAAAGTTATTCTTAATAAAAAGTTTTGATGATCTTAGGAAGCCATGGGTAGTAAGCAAAGTGCCTTTAATTTTTGTATTCGTTAAAAACTGTATTTAACAAAAAAATGCTTACGGAGTTTAGTCAAAAAATAAGAATCCGGGGACACACTGTATATTTGACCACTTTCATTTGAAATTTTTCTATATAAATTTTCCTGTCTAAAAAATTATTTCCATTTTTAATACCAAAATGATTATTCATAATTTTGAACATTAACTAAACAAAGTACAATTTCCTTAAGGTAATATGCATATCTAAACACTCACCTTTAAATTCTCCGTGTCCAAGTTCTCCTCTTCGACAGCCTTTCTCTCACCCTCAATCTTCTTCATGAACTCCTCATAGTCGGGTTTCTCGATTCCCAACAGTTCAGCCCTCATACATTCATATTCATACGTTCCTTCAGCCATACCTACGCTAATATTTTTCACCTACGGTGTCTACCTGTTACCTATTTACAAGGATTTTTGCGTTTCAACACTCAAAACATCACATGGTTGCGGGGTTGGCAGCACTGCTGCCGCATTATAGATTTTTCGTTGCCAACCGCGGGTAAACGTCCAAACTTTAAAATTGCTTTGGATCACAGCTAAATTACTCCGGTGCGAGAACGTAGATCTGGTGATTTCGTTGTCAGTGGTGTAATTGGAATTTTTTTAGTTTCTTTTAGGTGAGCTTAAGTATAAAAATAAAAGAGAATTTTCCTTATTCGGTAAGCCCGAATACTTATTATGTTGTAAGTATTTGAATGTGGCATATTTTTTTTAATACATCACTTTTATTCATGGTGTTTGCACTTCAAAGTTCAAAGCAAGACTGTCGTTCCGTTGATTGAGTCGACCCATACGAGGTCTGTTCAGAAAATAACCGAACTTTTTGATATACGCGCTAGTGGAGATATATATTTAGTGTAACCACATGTTCTTGAATTGTTGATATCTCATTTAGTTTTCGTGATAACTCCTTGAGCTATCTAATGTTGACGAAACAGGCATTCAACGGATTATAACGGGACGAAAACGGAATTTACAGCTACGACATTGGAATAAAAGTTTAATCATCACAATGAATGGGCACAAGTTCTCTACGTCCAAGAAGACACGTCAGTCTCGATCCAATGTCTAAGTGATGATCTCTGTTTTTTCCATATTAATGGAAATGTGCATTTTGAATTCTTGCCTCAAGGTGACACAGTGAACCATGTGTACTATAAAGGCGTTTTACAACGATTACATGAAAAAATCTGCAAAAAGAGACCAGAGTTGTGGCGGGACAGCTCATGGTTCTTGCACCACACACTCAGCTTTGTCTATTCGTCAGTTTTTGTGCCAATCAGATTGCTGTCCTCCTTCATCCTCCTTACTCGCCAGACCTGGCTCCTTGCGATTTTTTCTTATTTCCTAAATTAAAATTAGTGCTGAAAGAACGCCGTTTTCAGACAAAAGAAAATTCATCACAGACTTTAAAGGCCGTATGAAATGGAGCTATCCAGGACTGTTGCGCGAAATGCAATAATCGCTGGGAAAAGCGTGTGAATAGTGGAGGGGAGTACTTTGAAGGAGACAAGGGCCAAAATAATGTATAAGTTTAAAAAATAAAGTTCGGTTATTTTCTGAACAAACCTCGTATCTAATGAACCATGCGCGGTCAGTGTTGCCAACCCTTGGAAATACAATTTCTCACAAAAAACAAAGTATTCCTCGAATTTCCCATTAAATTTTGTTTTTAATTCACTCAAAATTTTCCACAATATATTAGTCATACTTTTTTTTTGGAGGATACTAAAAGATCAATAATAAGTACAAAAATAGGAATTTATTTTATGTTCATTTATTATGAAAAAGTCGTTTCAGGTGTGTAGATTCTAAATGTGAATGTAACCTTAAATATTTAATCACATTTGGAGTTTGAAGGAACGTTACACGTTTTGCATAATAAAATGAGTGATGCGAAGATGGTTAGGCCACAGCCTCCCTGAATTATTAGAAAAACGACAGAAAGTTACATTTACATGCCAATACATGCCATGATTTCGTTAACCTTTCTCTCAAGTGACGTCATCACATGCTCGTAGGCATTCCTTGTTAGAAAACCTTAGAGCACAAAGTTTAAATTATAGAGAGCGGTAATTTGATTACAGTATACGATGTAGAATTTGTTCCCTACACGAACATACTAATAGCGCCGCACAATGGGGGGGGACTCATCCCTACAAGTCTCCCCAATGTCCCAATGTATGACGCTGTTGTTAAAGGGGTAAGGGGATTAGTATTATGCTAATAGTGACTGTTATGAAAATTTAGTATTTCGTCTCCTATTAATAGACCAGGCAATAAAGAACGATTTTCCCCAAAATATCTAGATTTTCGCGGCCCGGTCCGATTTTAATGCGGTTTTTTGTATTTTTTTCAGAAAGACCGTCGGAAAAAAGTCCCGCCTTTTTTATTATCCGGAAGTGGCGGAAATGCATCGCGGGTGCATAAAGTGCATCTAGAAGTGCATCGCATCCNAGACCGTCGGAAAAAAGTCCCGCCTTTTTTATTATCCGGAAGTGGCGGAAATGCATCGCGGGTGTATAAAGTGCATCTAGAAGTGCATCGCATCCGAGAAACTTGCCAAAGTGCACAAAATACCGCAAAAATTGGTACACGGGGGTTTTGGGGGGCGCAGAATTCGATTATGCATATATCCAGTCCACCCGACCCCCCGGGGGGCGACTTTCGGCCGCCTGGGGGGCGCGGGGGACACGTGGATTGCAAGGTTCTCCGAATGACTGGAAAAATAAATCTCGGGGGTTTTCTCGGGTGCTGATTCCGAATTCGAGGGTGAAAAATATCCCCTGGGCTCGTGGAGGTAGGGGGGGGGTATGAAATCTAAAGTTCTCGAAATGACTGAAAAAATGAATCTCGGGGGTTTTTGCCGGTGCTGATTCCGAATTTGACCCTGCCAAATGCGTCCGATGACTATTTCTGATTATTTTGGAGAAGGGCGTTAATCTTCTAAGAAGGATTATATTCATCCTTCATTAATGGAAAATCATGGGGCGAAACTCAATTTAAAAAGTTCGGTTGGTAAAAGAAAGGATAAGCCTGATTATTTTTTTAAATATATTCATTGTTCTAAAGTATAAAAGTATATTTATTGTTTTAAAATATATATTGTCTTTAAATATATTCAATGCATATTCCTTCTGTATTAATTGTCACACGGGCTCATTTATCAAATAACTATAATAAACAACTATAAATACCAATCAAAATTATCTTCCTCATCTTCCTCTTCCTTGTTCTCTTCCTCGTTCTCTTCCTCCTCCTCCTCCTTCTCCTCCTCCTCCCCCTCCTCCTCCCCCTTCTCCTCTTCCTCCTCTTCCTCGAGCTCTTCGGCGTTTTCACTTCACTTACTGCGTATACAATATACATGTATGCGCGCGTCCTCGCTTCATCTGTCTCTTCCACTTTTCTGGGATCCCTCCTCAAAAATTCCACTGTTATATATAGGTACCGCCAGACAGCTGCGCGCATCCGTATACCTGAGATTCGAGAGCGTATACCTACAGCGGGAATTTCGAAAAGCAGCATCTCAGAATATTATCGAATTTCGTGCTCTTCTCATTTTTCCCCCGGAGCCTGATTGTCCTATAATTTATATAATCCTATAATCCGTTATAATTTTCTATCCACAAAATACTCATTATTCCATGTTACCAGTTCATGAATATTATAACCCCCCTCCCCCCATCGCCCTCTCCACGAGCACAGGGGAAATTTTTCACCCTCAGATTCGGAATCAGCACCCGCGAAAACCCCCGAAATACATTTTCCCAGTCATTTCGAGAACTTTAGATTTCATACCCCCCCACCTCCACGAGCACAGGGGATATTTTTCACCCTCGAATTCGGAATCAGCACCCGCGAAAACCCCCGAGATCCATTTTTCCAGTCATTTCGAGAACTTTAGATTTCATAACCCCCCCCACTTCCACGAGCACAGGGGATATTTTTCACCCTTGAATTCGGAATCAGCACCTGCGAAAACCCCCGAGATCCATTTTTCCAGTCATTCGGAGAACCTTACAATCCACGTGCCCCCCGCGCCCCCCAGGCGGCCGGAAGTCGCTCACCGGGGGGTCGGGTACCAATTTTTGCGGTATTTCGTGCACTTTGGCAAGTTTCTCGGATGCGATGCACTTCTAGATGCACTTTATGCACCCACGATGCATTTCCGCCACTTCCGGATAATAAAAAAGGCGGGACTTTTTTCCGACGGTCTTTCTGAACAAAATGCAAAAAACCGCATTAAAATCGGACCGGGCCGCGAAAATCTAGATATTTTTCTCTTTATTGCCTGGTCTATAAGCAGCAATCGTTGTGAAGAGTAGTTTACACAATATTTTACACGCGGCTGAAAATCATAACACACGCCACACAAATATGAAACACTCATTTCATGTGCAATATCGCAAGTACTGCGACTCGGGTTTTCCTCTGCCAAGTATATAATGTCGTCTTCCCTATTTAAGACGTATTGCAATCTTTCTCGTATTAGAAAACAGTTGATCAGTTGATTAAGTGGGCAATGCAGAGTCGGCCTAAGTTTCGCGTAATAATTCTTGATTAATTTTCTGAAATCATGACACTTAAACTGTGAAGAAAGCATGGTAATTGTTTACTCTCACATTCTATTAACTCCCCCTCCCCCCAAAGAAATGCACTTATATCAGAAAAAATTTTCAAAAATGAAAATTTAGATAAAAATGACTGAAATCTATAATAGTATTGGTTTTTCTCAACGTTCCATACGTTTTCATATCCAACACACTGACGTGACGCACTATGTCACGCCGTACGCAGCCTACAGCGTATACGTCACCAACTACTTACGGTTAAATCTTATAGTGTCGCATGATGGTTCTTGCACGTAGAGAAATATGAAACGTCGAATTTCAGACGTCCTGTATACTCATCTTTCTTCTTTCAGGACATCCCTTATTGCTAGTTTTTCCAAGGAGCAACGTTCGAAGATGTATGTTCCTAGCACCCAGGTGTTATATTTGATCGCCTGGGGCTAGGAGTATATTTTTGTCGTTGCTCTCATCAACGCAGAAACGTCTCCTATAAGTAGCCGAATTGTTGTATTTAAATAAAAAAAGTAGAACAATGTGTCATTAATGACTCCGCTTGGCTTGTGTTTTAATCCTAATATTTTATAGAAATGTAGAAAAACGTGTGTAAAATGTAATAAATTTGTCTCTAAAGTTTAAATTTTAAGGCAGCAAACTGTAGTACAAATTTACAGCAACAGATGGCGCCACCACGATTTTCGGGGTATCTCACCGACACATGATGAACAGGAAGTTGTCTTAAGTAAGGTACCCACAAGGGTGGGGAAGGGTTGGTATCTACCGCGCGTCTCCGTACCCAACTAGATTAATGGGAGATAGTTCCATCACAGTTTTA